TCAGCTCCAAAAGAGGGTTTCTTTCTTCGTCTTCGAGCTCTTCAACCTCAGTAAGTGTTCGTCTTCGTTGAAAAAATTTTCGTTTTCTACAGTAAAGCTTCTGGGTGGTACAGGATTTGCAGTTTCGGGTAATTGATCTATGTTGTCTTCGGGCGACTCGTCCAAATTTGCCACTATTATGAACAAAACTAATCGCCTCTTTCTCAGTTTCTTAGCTATTTTGCTCTCTGAGGTGCACATTGGTAAGTAGGTAGGTAGGTAGGTAAGGCCTGTTTTGAATTGTTGTTCCTCATTTGTTTGTTTTTGTTGTTGTTGTTGTTTTTTTTATGAATTTTTACAATTCATAAATATCAAGAATTAAAAATAAATAATATAAGGTACAGACAAACACGATCATCCTTCTACTACCTTCTCCTCCCTATTGGAGACAAAAACTAGCCAAAACTGTTGCCCTGGGATTTAAGATGGCGTCCTTGAGTGAACAAAGTCGAGTTAGGGAATTATTTGATTCTGTGACTTTTGGAGTAGTTCGATCGCTTGGTAAGTCCTCTTTTCAAATACTTAATTTATACTTACTTTAACAGAAACGGGTAACTAAATTTAATGCAAAACTCTGATTCAAATTTCATGAAACTCGAGGTAAAAACTGAAGTAAGCTCAGCTGTGAATATGCCGCGCTTCCACTTTTTTTTTCAGAAAAGAAGCCAGGTGTAACAGATTTCCGTCTACTTGATAGACGACAAGCGGAAAAACACATTATCTTTACTTGGGAGCTGGTAATATTTCATTTCCTGAATAAACATTAACGTGTGAAGTAACATTATATTGACCAGTGTGTTATGAGTAGCAAAAAACGATTACATACCATTCTCAACACTGTATATTTGATAGAAGAACATGTGTATCTTGCCAGAGGACTTGAAGAGTTTTTTCCTCACAAGAAATGACTGTTAATTCAGTGGAGCATCAAGTTTGATAATAATTAATGACAATGCATCTTTGAAAAAATAATGCCAGTAATAGTAAATGTTTCCTGGTGCCCTCACAGGCTGCGGGAAGCAGGAAACTTTGGTCATAAAGAGTTTTGGGTCACTTGGCTTGCAAGACTTCTTAGAATCATCACTGAACATTTTGACGGTTTGATTTGTTGTTTCATATCTATTTTCTCCATTTTATCAGGGAGTGTTTTACCACTGGGAAAAATGGAGCTGAATCCTGTGACAGGTCTAGTGTTGCTGTCTAAAGCAACATCTGTTAGTGATGACAAACCCTCATTGGCTGATTTAGATACTGATTCAGATGAAGAAGATGGCCAAGGTATTGACCAAACATGGGGACAGATCCAGGAATTTGACAGAGGGAGGGGGAGAGGGGAAGCATCCTTTGACTTAAAAAAACAAAAACAAAAAAACTACTTTTCTTTATGTTGGGCCCAAACATATATAAGCAAAGGAATGATTCAGGCCAAGTGAATATATTTGTTAAGAAG